CAGCTCCAGGGAAGGGTTTAGGAGATGCTCCCTCTCCAGCACAAACATTCCAAGTTCCTCTGCTCCAAAGGGACCTTCGACAAATTAATTCTCTTTACACAGTTCTGCCAAGGTCAGGTTAATTCCTAATGCTGCTCAGTGTTCTCCTCGGTCTTCCCAGCAGGGACATAAATCAGGGCCACACAGCCCTGGTGGCATCACCAGGGGCACCCTGGAAAGTTGAAATCACCCTGGCACGACAAGAGAGAGGTCAAAACCCAGCCCGGAGCATCCCAGGCAGCAAATCCCAGACTCCTTGCACAAGCTCCAAGAGCCACTGGAGCTTCTGACTAAAACCCCAAGGAATCTTGGAAAAGCTGCACCAAACCCCCCCTCACAAGCCAGCATGAGCTCAAACTCCAGCTCAAATCTTCTCCCAGACTGGATAACCTCGCTCCCTTCTCCCAGAAAACATTCCCAACCAACAGGAGCCCCAGGAAGCTGTGTGCAGTGCGCTGATCCCCTGCTTCCATTACGGATTTAACAAGCACCTGGAGCTTTGGGAAGCATCCATAAGCATTCAAATCCCACCCCACTTTATTTTTTTTCCTCAGGAGGAACACCCAGAGCTGTAAAACGTGGGAGTTTCTGCTTCCATGGGTGGCTGGAGCCATTTGAGCAGGATTAGGAAAGGACTTTTTCCTTGGAAGGCCCCCGTGGGTGGCAGAGGCTTTACCTCTGCTCCTGCTCCAGGGGCCAGGACCAGGAGCCCCAAGGAGCTGAGGTCACCCAGGCCTGGCTTTGTCACGTCCCCCACCAGCAAAACCAGCTCGTTATTCCTCCAAACAGGGAGTTTTTCCAGCCCTTTCATTCCCATCCAGCCGAGGATTTCGCCGCCGTTTCCCGCCATCCGTTAAGCAGCGCTCAAAGCACCAAGGCTCGCACCCGCTCCTGCTCCAGACTAATTAAGATGGATGTTAATTGTCCCCAGCGCTCATTACCCAAGAGAAAACCCATTAGCAGCTCTGATGGAACCGCTCCTTGCGCTCGCCACCTCCCACTGCTGAAAAATGCTGGATTTCTGCTTTTCTGTCGCGTTAGGAGGCAAATCGGGAATCATGGAATGGTTTGGGTGGGAAGGGAGCTTCAAGCCCATCCAGTGTCACCCCTGCCATGGACAGAGGCACCTTCCACTGTCCCAGGGGGCTCCAAACCCTGCCCAGCCTGGCCTTGGGCACTGCCAGGGATGGAGTGGATACAGCTGCTCTGGGAATTCCATCCCAACCCCTCCTCAACCTCCCAGGGAACAATTCCTGCCCAATATCCCATCCATCCCTGCCCTCTGGCACTGGGAGCCATTCCCTGTGTCCTGTCCCTCCATCCCTTGTCCCCAGTCCCTCTCCAGCTCTCTTGAAATGACTTTAGGCTCTGGAAAGGGCTCTGAGGTGTTCCTGGAGCCTTCTCTTTTCCAGCCTCCATCCCACTGTTCTTGTTATTAATGAAGAGATTAAACAGTGCTGATCCCATTTATCCCTAAAAATGGTTAATATAGGGAAAATCAGATTTTTAACCCAAACCATCCCACCCTCAGCCAGCTGCTGCCTCAGTTTCCCCTCTTGTTTTTTTCCCCGTGGGCCGTGCTGTTTGGATGGGGAAATTTCTTTCTGCTAATGAGACGATCCCTGAATATCACAGGCAATCAGGAAGGAAAACGTCGGGATGGGGAAAAGTAAAAATAAACCCAGCTATAAATAACCCCCTTCCGGCAGCGCCGGTGGCACGACGTGGTGAAGCCCCTTCCCAGGGACACGCAGCTGCTCCCAGACGTGCAGGGAAACGGAGATTTCTGTAACAACTACAAGGAATTGCTGGGATTTTGTGGAAAAAACGGCCTCGAGTGGCCACTTGTGGGCTCCCAGAAGAAAAGTGGCCTTTTCCACAAGCAGGAAGTCCTGCCCTGGGAATGGGCACAGGGAGGGTGAGGAAATCCTGATATCCTGGGTTTTTTAGACATAATCCAATCTTCAGGCAGCTGGAAATTATTTTCCCCCACTCCAAGCAAAGCCTGGTTTAAAGATATTCCCATAAACCCACCAGGAAAACTTGGGTCCCTTTGGGAAAGTCCTGTTGGAAGAGCGATGCTCCCCCGGTGCCACCTCCTGGACCATTCCCAATATCCTGGACCATTCCCACCCAGGCCACTTTGTCCTCTTCCCTCATTCCCTACAACACACGAGCAGCAGCTCCCACGGCAGAAAATCCCCCCAGGGATGTCACATCCCTTAAGAAAACCCTGAAATGTGGATGGGAGGCAAAACTCCACGTGGTGAGAAGGCTTTTCCCCACAGGAGGCTTCCCAAAAACATTCAGCCAAGGATTGACCAGACAAGGAGCGCCAGCACAAGAACAAGGAAGCATCCTTGGACATACGGATTAGATCAAACTAGATGAGATGAGATGAGATTAGATAATGAAAAGTTTTCCACAGTGAGGGTGGGGAAGCACAGGATGCCCAGAACAGCTGGGGCTGCCCCTAGATCCCTGGAAGTGTCCAAAGAAGGTTGGATGGGGCTTGGAGCAACCTGGGATAGTGAAAGGTGTTCCTGTCCATGGAAGGAGTGGGATAGGATGAGCTTTAAATTCTCTTCCAACCCAAACTGTTCCAAAATCCTGTGATTCCTGTGCTGTCACGGAACAGCAGAGCAGAGCCCAGCAGGAATCCTCAAAGCAGGAATACTGTGTCACAGCTCCCTCCGGGCTATGGGAGATGTACTCACACAGCCCTGAGCTTCCCAAAATTCCCTGAGACTGAGCTGAGCCCCATCGGTTTTCCTGCAGCCCACAAATCCCAGCAGGAGAAATCAAACAGGTTGCCAGCTGCAATTGTAAAGTTCTCATGGAATGGTTTGGGATGGAAGGGACCTTAAATCCCATTCCATTGCACATGGAACACCTTCCACCATCCCAGGTTGATCCAAACCCCATCCAACCTGGCCTTGGGCACTGCCAGGGTTCCAGGGGCAGCCACAGCTGCTCTGGGCACCCTGTGCCAGGGCCTGCCCACCCTGCCAGGGAACAATTCCTGCCCAAAATCCCATCAAACCCTGCCGTCCTTTGGTTTAAAGCTGATATTGGTTCAGCTATCGAAGGATGCAGATAAGAGAGGGTTGTAGGAACAAACAAGCGATGCCTGGAAGTGTTGTGAGCTTGGGTTATATTTTGGGCAATTTAATAAATTTGCATTTTGATCTTCAAAAACAGGACCAAGCACAGCTGGAAGAGGAACAGGACGAGCAGAGCTCCACGTTCCTCCCATTAATGCACCAGGCTGCAGCAGCACGCAGACTGATTTTGTCCAACTGTCAAAAATGGCACCTTTCTGCTTTTATAGAAAGACCCATTCGAATAGAAAATGGCAGAGGAAAACATTCCATGGCTCAAAAGAAAAAAAAAAAACATAAAAAAAGAAAATCAAGGAATACATTTCCCAGGTTTTGCTGTTGAAAAGCTCTGAAAAGCCGAGCAAAGGGGGGCTGCAGAGGGAGCGCGAGCGGGATGGAGCCGCCGCCTTTTCCTTTGGGAACGCGGTGTAACACACGGATGGGGGCTCTGACTCATCCATCAATACATGTGTTTGCACACTTTTCCAAAAAGCTTTTGGCCCGGAGCTACCCAATAGATGGAAATGCTGCGGAATTTTCCCCAGATGGCTCATTTTTGGTCCTGAATAAAAGGCGTCGTTTTTCCAGTTGCCAGCTGGGGAGAGCCGGCCCCGCTTTGGGGTCACCCTGACCCCAGAGGATGAAACCCCCAAGGCAAACGCAACCCATGAACCCACCAGAGCAGGGAGCAAGGCGTGAGGTAACACAAATTTGGGGTGAAATCCCATTGTTTTGGACAAAGAGGGAGCAGAGCACCTGCAGAGCCACCCCATCTGGGATCAGGGACTGGGAGGCGCCACTCTCAAGGGAAAATTAGGGATGTGAGGAAAAGATGATGCAATATTTCATCACTGGTGGCGGTTGGAAGCGGTGCCATTCCACTGCTTTTTGAAATGCTGCCAGGAGGAAAATTCAACCTCACCTTGGGGAAACTTCTCTGGGAAAAAAAACCCCAGGGTGGGATTAAAAGCAGGACCATGTCCATGGCTGAAAGCATGGTCTGGAGGCGAAGGAAATCATGGAATTCCCTGGAATAAATGGATTTCCCATGACAACAGCTGCTCTGGGAGCACTTGCAGCCTCTTTGCCTCCAGGCCAGGTGGGATTTTTTGCCCAGCCAAGCATGAATTACACTGGGAGACTCAGTGCTGCATTCCCATTGGGAATGGGGGTGAGGGCAGGTTTTTGGGAATGCCTTGAGACCAAGAAAGCTGTGGAGGTGTTGGGTGGTCTGGGAGCCCCCAAACCCCAAATTGCTCCCCTGACAACTACAAGGAGCCTCCCAGCCTTCCAGAGCCTAAAGGGGCTCCAGGAGAGCTGGAGAGGGACTGGGGACAAGGGATGGAGGGACAGGACACAGGGAATGGCTTCCCACTGCCAGAGGGCAGGGATGGATGGGATATTGGGCAAGGGTGGGCAGGCCCTGGCACAGGGTGCCCAGAGCAGCTGGGGCTGCCCCTGGATCCCTGGCAGTGCCCAAGGCCAGGGTGGAATAACCTGGGACAGTGGAACGTGTCCCTGCCCATGGGTGGGCTTGAAGATCCCTCCCAACCCAATCCAAACCGTTCCATGATTCCATGACGTTTCCTGGCCCTGGATAAAACAAACCATTCCTGTCCGGAGCTCCCCTCCTACAGAAGAATGACCTGCCTGGACAGACTTTTGGATTTGCTGTATCCTCCACACCACAAACCGCAGCACACGGAGAGCACGGATCCTGCACATGGAGAACATCCCTTCCTTAGGGCAGGAAACTCAGCCCAGCCGCAGCATTGAACTGGAGGAAGAAACCACGGGGGGGAAAAACCGAATTTTCGGCCAGGGAAAACAATTCTTTGGACAGAAAAAAACTGTTCCAACCTGGTGATGATGGCGAGGTGGGGAGGGCTCATGCAGGCCCCCATGAAGAGCACCACATTCTCGTGCCGGGTCTGCCTGTAGGCCATGACCTCCCTCTTGAAGGCCTTGAGCTGGTCCTCGTTGTCGCGCTCGATGTCGATGAGGCGAATGGCCACCTCCCCGTGCCAGCGCCCGTGGAACACCTGCCCGAAGCGGCCCTTCCCGATCAGCTCCCCGATCTCCAGCTGCTCGAAGGGGATGTCCCACTCCTGCAGGAAGATGCTGGTCTGGCTGGCCTTGCGCGGGAAGTTGCGCGCGGAGAGCAGCGAGAGGTTCATCTCCTCAAAGTCGTCCTCGGACTCCTGCACCTCCTCGGCGCCTTCCTCGTTCTGTGGCGGGCAAAGAGCATCGGGAACAATGGAAGAGGGGAAAAAACTGTGGGAAAAACCCCACTGATCCCACTCAGACCCAGAGGAACCAGGCAGGAGCAGCCCCGTTCTAGGCAAAGTTGGGAGAATCCCAGGTTTTCATAGAAACATGGAATCCTTTCGGTTGGGAAAGCTCTCTGAGATTGACTCCAGCCCTTCCCCAGCATGGCCAAGGCCACCACAAACCCACGTCCCCAAGTGCCACATCCACAGGGCTTTAAATCCTCCCAGAGCTGGGGACTCAGCACTTCCCAGTGGAGCCATTTATTTACCCCGGGGTTAAATTTAAGATTGTGACACATCAGAGATTTACTTCATTTTTCTTAAAACAGTTTCATCCTCCCCTGGCTGGGCTGTGCTCCGTTAATTCCCTTTATTCCCAGACCCCTTGATGGTCCATTTAGACTTCCTACAGGATTTACAACACCCTTTAAAAGCTCCATCCTCATCTTCCCTCTCCCCTCCTTCCCTTCCACTGCATTTTTAATGCATCCTGAAAACACCTCATTGAATTCCAAACTGGAAGCCCAGGAGGGTCCCTCTCCACAGGGCGGGGACACGGATGCCTGGACTTTAATTCAATTATCAGCAATTCCACTGTGCAGATGGGAAATGTCTCCATTTCCTAGGAAATGTGCCCCAGGACATCCCTAAAACCAAGGCCCATTAAGCACAGGAGCTGTCTCACCTCCGAGGTGGGCTCCACTTCAATTTGAAGCAATGGGTTTCCTTCCAGGCTGTTAAAAGAATTACGGAATTAACACCATGGAAAAACACCGGGATTTGGGGAGCAGTGCCTCTTCCTGCCCCGGGGGTGAAGGGATCAGAGGGAAGAAGGTGTCGCTAACCCAGGGAAAGGGACGGATTTAATCCCCCAGGCTCTGACCACACTCGAGGCCTTTTCAGGGATTTCTAAGATTTCTCCACTACCAACACCAGCCAAAGCAGGAAGACAGAAGGAAAGAAAATGCATTTTTCAATCATTTTGGAGAAGTGGAGGGTTCAAAGATCCTCTCCCTGCAGGAGAGCATCCGAATCTGACTGGTTTTCCAGTTCTTTTCCTTCCCTGCTCACTTAGCACCTCCCACCCCCAGGTCCAAGACTGGGGTCTCGCTACACGGCAATCCTGCAAGTCTTATCCCATTCCACGGCCACTAAAGACTATAAATCCCAGGATGCTACACATCACAAAAGGAGTCAATCCTGGCACTCTGCGCAGCTTGGGAAGCCCAGGTGCCTGCAAAACATCTCCATGGATGGGTGGTTTGCTGGAGCAGCTCCTCGTCACTATCCCAAACACGAATTCCCGTCTCCCGAGGATCCAGAGATGTTTCACCCAGCCAAGCCCAGGATGGCTCCCATGGGATGTTTTCAGTGAGGGGGGAGTCAGAGGGAATCACAGATTTTGGATACTGAAAGTTCTTCCCCTCCAAAAATCCTATGTCTTGACATCTTCCTTTTGGAAGGGGGAAAGAGAAGGCTTTGACTTCACCATTTTTCCAGGAATTCCCAAGGAATGGTGGTTCCACCCTTTGTTTCACTGGATCCCCAGTGGAATTTGGAGAGTGTGGAGGAGCCAGCCTCAAACTGGGGCCAGAACTGACCCCTTGAACCCCTGGCTTGTGAAATCCTTCAAAAATGGCTTTTAGAGGAAGGATCAGGAAGGACACAGCAGTGGAATGTCGCCGCTGGAGCAGCACAGGCTCCAGGACATCAAGGAATGATGGATTTGGGCCCAACCTGCTGGGGAGGAATGGCTCTAACACTGATTAGATGCTGCTTTGACAAACTTTCAGCCCAAAGTTTATTTGGCTTGAAGACATTGGAAGTGGTAAAGGTATCCTGGTTATCTGCTTTTAATTTAATTGCAATTTAATTAATCCCTTAGGCTTGGGCTTTTTGGACTGAAATCCATTTACATTTTTTTTTCCCTGAACATGGAAGAGCTGTGGGTTATAAATGAACCCCCTGCCCTCCTTCTCAACCTTCCAGAGCTCCGGGGTCTCACCAGAACCACGTGAGCCCCCGAGGGCAGGGGAGCACCCATGGGTGCCTGGAGGATTTGGGGTGCAGAGGGAAGGGGGAGGGAAGGGGGAGCCACTCACATGGGGTTGGAGGTGACGGGGTGCAGGACGACCTGCGGGGCTCGGGTCGGCGTCTCAGGCACCACATCTGGGAACGAGAGAGAGGAGTCAGAGACCTCTAGGGGCAGCCAAGGCAATTAAACCCCACCGGGGTTAATTAAACCCACAGCTCCAATTTAGTGACACCCGAGTAGGGCTGGGTGTCACTTAGGGCCACCCAACCCTGCAGCATCTGAGCTCTGAGGAGAAATCCCATCCCAGCACAAATCCAGGGGTTTGGAAAGCCGGCCATGCACCCATCCCCACCAGGAGAAATTCCAGCATCCAAGGAAAAACTTCCCGAGAGCCTTACCTGGGAAAATGAACTGCTGCTTGTACTTGTAGTAATGGGAGGCTGGAAAAGAGGGAAAAGGCTTCAGTATTGACCTGTGGGGCTGGAAAAGCTCCAACCTTCAGTGGTTCTTCACCAGGAAACCCCAACCCCAGTCGTGTGACTCCCTCCTGTGTGATCCAACCTTTCCCACTTCCGTATCCCCATCTGGAATATTCCATATTCCAAAATGGCACATAGAATGCCCAGGCCAAAAAATGAAGACTTTTGCTGGATTCTAACTTGATTTCCCGCCCCACATCTACTGCTCTGCACCGTTTGGAGAGGGTTGATGTCATCCATGAAGTCACTGGTGGGGTTTAAACCCCACTTTGCCAGCAGGACTGCCGGTCCTCAAGTGGAATTTGGGAACCTCTTGGCATCATGGAGACGCCAAGCGATGGGTTTGGAACTGCTGCCCATTTGGGCCACATTCCACCCTTTTTTCCCTTGCCTTGGAGCCGTGTCCTTCCTGGAAGGAGTCCCAGGAGCCACTGTCCAAAGCCAGAGGTCGGAATGGCTCTGGGTGTTGGGAACATCCGCTGGCTCCCATCTCCAGCACAAGGACTGATCCCATTCCATGGGCAGGCAGGTCATGGATGCAAAGCGCTTGGAGCTTCTGAGGCCACCAGAGGTTGGCACCAGCTCAGAAGTCACCTTCTTATCTCCAAGACCCCAAGGGCCATCCCTCAGCCTCCCCTCTCCATCTTGGAGACTCCAAAGTCTGACCTCAGCCCTGCAGCAGGACCTGAGCCAACATCAAAGGAGCCTGGGAGGTAATTCCAGCAGGAGAAGGTCACCGTGTCACAACTTCCAAGCTCAAATCCTAATCCCTGAGATGACCACCTTGATGGGATAAACCACAGAACAATTCCTGGCTGGGAAGATGAAAGCAGGGTAAGTCCTGCTATGGATCCCATTCTGCTCCTCATGGGAATAAAACAGGGAGCAAACACCCCCAGAGCTGCCAGGGTCTGATCCTGCCCTGCCGGCTGGGAATGTGTCCCAGCTCCCCAGAAGAGGGGTGAAATCCATGGTTTCTGCTTTAAACTCAAGACATAACATCCCAAGAAGCCCCATAGGCTGTCCCTGCTCCAGAAGTGACCCATGATTGGGCTACCGAAGGCTGGATCCCCCAGAACCGGGCCAGGCCCGGATTGGGATTGGGATGCCAAGACACCGGGATACTTTGGCTCTGGAAGAACTCCTCGCACTGGGTCACACCAGCACAGAACCAGTGCCATCTCCTCCTGGATCTTGGAGGCTCTGGGGCTGTGCCGGGTGAAATCCTGACCCTATGGCTGGGCCACAGCATTCCTGGGAGTGCTCAGGGCTTCCTCCCACCTGCTCTGCTGTTTTCCTGGTGCCATTCCAAGATCCTGCCTGAATCCCAGGTGCTCCAAAGGACTGCCGCCTCTCCAGGCACACGAGGACATGATGGGTGCTTGGCTGCTGGGGGGTTTTCCCAGATTTTGGAAGTGTTTGATGTTGTTGTGATGGATTCTGACAGGCAACTTCCTCCTCATCATCCTCCTCCTCTCTGGTTGAAGGCTTGTCAGGATGGAAGCACCACAGCAGAACATGAAGATTCTGCCTGGTTCCTCTGGAGAAGCAAGCCTTCCTCCTTCCCTTTCCTTTCCTTTATCCTGGGATTTTGAGGGTGCAGGAGAGACCCCAACCTTCCAGCTGCTGCAGCAAAGAGGTCGTGGATCAAGCAGAGCCACCAGGACAGCCAGGAGCACTCCAGCATCCCAGAGATCTCCTCTCCCCTCACCAGCTCTATTTTGGGAGCAAGTGGACATTTCCAGGAGTGATGCTGAGCCATTCCCTCCTGGAAGGGACCTTTCCCGGAGCAGCAGGACATCCCGAAGGAAAGCAGACACGCTGGGACAGGCTTTGATAGATCCTTAGCCTAGGAGGAGCTTTTTGGGCCGTCTTCCATAACTTGCGTGTCCTGCAGCCACCGCCACCTCCCTGCCTCCCCCACCATCCCTGAAGAGGTGAAGCTCCCAGAGGATGGATCCCAGATTCCATGGGACAAACCACATCAGACAGCCCCAGAATCGTCTGTCACCCCACACAGGCTGCCAACCTGTTGGGGACCCATCACCCCAAAACCACGGTGGGGTCACGTCAATGACCAGGGTCAGCCCCTGGTTTGTGTTTGCACCTGAGGAGAAATGCCATGGAAAATCCATGCCTGGAAAGTTCTGTAGCCTCAAGAGCAGCAGAAGCTGGGCTGGCTCCAACCATGGAGGATTCCAAGACTGGATCAAGCCTGGAGCTCTGACCCTTCTCCAAGCAGGAGGTTTGACCAGAGACTCCCAGCCTGAATTACCCTAAACTCATCTTTTCTCCCCATTTCTACTTCCACCTTCTCCCGATCCCAGAGCCCAGGCAGGGAATTAGGCAGAACTGATCCACATCCCAAGGACACCCCAGGACACGAATCCCTCGCAGGGGACAGGTGGGGACATGGGGAAGGGGTGGCAGTACCTGGCAGGTTGAACTGCTTCTGCTGGCGCGGGCACTGCGGGGACGGGTGCAGGGGGGACGGGGGGGTGGCGCTGGGCGGCAGCGGCGGGG